GATGGCAGTATATGGCATTACCAGTGAGAAGATTTGTAGTCTACACTATTTACATTATTCGGACTATTGTCCTCATCTTTGTCGCCATATTTATCACAACGTTTCGGCCGTTGTACGCTCAGGCCTTCTTCAGGTGGTTGGAATTTCGAACTGAACTCTTTATTTCTAGTTCTAGTTCCACGTGCCATGTTTGATGGATGTCAGTTATCAGTTATCTCCTGCTAAGGGTTCAGTTCGAACTCACTACTCAGTCGTAATTTTTCTAACGAGACAAGCTTTCTAACCATTACACCAAGTCGAGGTGCTCTAATTATTTTCTAAGCGTAGCTTAGATGTGTCACAAAGCAGAAAGTCTAGGGCACCCGGTGAGGAACGAACTCACTATCTAGTTGTAACTGATCTAGCGAGACAAGCTTTCTAACCATTAGACCACGTCGAGGTGCCGCCATGATTTTCTAAGCGTAGCTAAGATGTGTCACAAGGCTGAAATTCTGGGGCACCCGGTGAGGATCGAACTCACTATTCAGTTGCAACTGATCAAGAGAGACAAGATTTCTAACCATTACACCAATGATTTTCTAAGCGTAGCTTAGATGTTTCACAAGGCCGAAAGTCTAGGAAACCGGTGAGGATCTAACTCATTTTTCACTTGTAATTGATCTAGCGAGACAAGCTTTCTAACCATTAGACCACGTCGAGGTGCCGCAATGATTTTCTAAGCATTGCTAAGATGTGTCACAAGGCCGAAAGTCTAGGGCACCCGGTTTGGACCGAACTCACTATTCAGTTATAACTGATCTAGCGAGACAAGATTTCTAAGCATCACACCACGTCGTGATGTCCCGTCTTCTTGTTATTTTTGCCCACATGTTCACGTGTATTTTACGAAAATGCAAATCGCACTTAAAATACATTGACGGGTATTTTCTAACGGTGCAAATTGTTAAAGAAATGCAAACACTTTCCATTGTTAGGGAAACATTAGAAACAATGAGAGGCGGGCCAGTCTCATTAGTGAAGTATTTTCAACACTAAAATACATTTTTAATACGACGATGAAACATGTGACCAAAAAACACACACAAACACATTTTTGATATCGATAAAATGGCGGTCATAAACTTGAATCAATCTGCCATACCATCGATATATATATATATATATATATATATATATATATATATATATATATATATATATATGTCAGTCTGGTGAAGGCCTATATAACTTTATAAACCAGGTTTTCATACTCCCTATCTCAGTGCTTCCCAAACCTTTTTTTTTTTTATCTGTGCGCCGAGTTTATGGAAAGAAAATTTGCTCACGCCTCACTAAATATTATGTGATAAAAAGTACATTTAAAAATAAAAAAAAATACAGGAAAAGTATAAAAGGGAGATAACCCCGGATTCAAAGTCAGAACATTATCATTGATAACTCTCTCCTACCAATTTTCGGACCCTGGTTACTATATTCTTAATACTTGACATAATACAAATATAACACAATGATAAAATCGGCCAATAATTATTTATAACTATACTTGGACAAATGCATGCAATTACAAGTAATCTATAATAATATTTTAAATTTTGAAATCCTATTGATTTTTGGCATATGAATGTTTTTGAAACTGTTTCTAAATTGATTGACTTTCAATCATTTCGCCTCACCTGCTATCTTTTTCTGCCGTACCTATGAGTTTTTAATATTGTCTTTTTACAGATATACCATGAATGAAATTTTCTCAAGCATTGAGTCCATGCTCATTAAGGCCCAACTATAATGGGTGGGGCATGTCATCCACTTGCCAAGACGTCTTCTCTACGGAGAGCTCCTGTACGGCAAGAGACGACAAGGCTGTCCAAAGAAGCGGTACAAAGACACTGTGAAAGCAAATCTCCAGGGGTGCAAGCTCGAACTCAAAGACCTAGAGGAGAGCTCCAACGATCGATCACGTTGACGAATCACAATCCATGATACTGCTATCACCTTCGAGGATGCTCGACGCTAGAGACTCGCCGCTGACAGAGATCAACGGCACAGGGCATCGTCAGCAGTGATTACAACAACAGACTTTCAGTCCAAAGTAGAAAAACCCAAAACAAGTAAAAAGACAACTACATAAAGTGCTCAATACACCAAGTAGAACAAAACCTAAGATAATCCTAAGGAGTCAACTTTTGCCTAGTTCCTTAAGATTATCTTATATATATATATATATATATATATATATATATATATATATATATATATATATATATATATATCTGAGGAGGCACTGTGGAGTAGTGGATAGCGGCTCGGATTGAGGAATTACAGTCAATCCATTACATTCACTTACGTGTTAATACCCTTGCGAAAAGTATGAATCCTTTTCTTCCCCTCCTATGGGTAAAATAGTATGGCAACTTGTCTAGGAGAAGGACAACTCTGAATAGTTGTAGTAACCAGGTCTCTGTATTCGGCCCTTCAAAATGTGTGGTTGGTTCTGCAAATCAAATCATATATAGCAACTGACGACGGGAGGGTCTACCATATATATATATATATATATATATATATATATATATATATATATAAAATATATAAGGTTAATGGTCAATTCACGTGTAAAAAAAAAGATCTTTTAAATTTATAAATCAGGAAGTCAGTTTAGTACTCTTTGTTTGTTTCTAAAGAAATTTTCCTGTTTCTTGATACATTGCTTGCCTTTTGGAAGGCATCTTTTGCTATTCCGATGCGCCTTTGGGTATCCTTAGGTCACCTAAAATGACCTCCTAAAGCTTTTATTTATTTATTTTAAAAAACTAAACTACATTATTATTTTCAAAAATAAACAAACAGACAAACGCATGACGTTGGGTGTAATAGTAAGGGAGGAGGAGGATGTGAAGAAGAAAGGGAAGGGAAGAAGAGCAAATGTATGGGAAATGTATTGGTGGGTGGGTGTGGTCTGTTGTCATATAATAGTAAGGGGTTGTCATAACTTTTTTTTTCCAGCCTCATATGCACTTAAGAAAAACTTTCTGATATGTATGGAAGGACTTAAGACTTTGGATTCCTGGTTTAAAAGGTTTTTGAAATCCAGAAATGTCATAATCTCTATTTTTTCCTGTTGACAGAGGTCCCAAATATTCGCTTTTTTTAAAAATGTTCCACCTTACCAACGGATACCTGTTGCTTATTTTTTTTATTTAAGATTCCACACATGGTTTATATATATATATATATATATATATATATATATATATATTGTGTGGGTTATATACCGTACCTATGAACACTAATTAAAGGGTATGTCCCAATTCTCATAAATACGATAGACACTATTGTAAGTGGGGTAAGATGTCCTCTAAGTAGTCCACCAGTGGTTTACAAACTTCACGGCGAGTATTTTATTTTATTGATGTTATAAAGATTACCATTTAATTTACAACCTCCATTTTGGTTATTCCTTATTCAGTAACTCTTTCTATGTTACAATAATATATTTATATATATATATATATATATATATATATATATATATATATATATATATATTTCCGATTTTTTTTTCAATTCGTAGGTTTGATGAATTGGATCGTGATTACGATTCCAATGTAATAAATCATAATCATGGAATATGTTTGAGCCTTTCATATTATATTCTCACTCTGTCTTGGACATTGAGTTCTACCTGGATTCTATCCTCTTGTGAATTTATATATATATATATATATATATATATATATATATATATATATATACGCTAGGCGCAAGCGTCAGGCCTGACGATTGCGTCTAGCATGAAACAGACTGTCGCCTCTAAGTGTAGACTTTTATGTTCACTTTTATATTTTCACACGGTCTATCTCTGATATTGAGCACCTCATCCCATAAATATAGCATATCTTAAGACTCTCTCTCTCTCTCTCTCTCTCTCTCTCTCTATATATATATATATATATATATATATATATATATACACGAAATACGAACATGGATAAGGTTTAGGCGAGTATACAATTTAATTATGCTTTAAAAACAGTAATTTTAAAGGTATATATAAATCTATACAAAAATCAAAATCAAAATGGAAGAAGATCAAGCATAAGCAAAAAATGTCACTCTCCTTCAAGTCGTTGATTGAAAAACATAACTAGAAAACAAAATACAAGAAAAAAATGCTAAAGTAGTTATAATATGTTAGTCGTTGTGCGTATATACATATGTATATGCGTTTGTGTGTTTGTCTATATATATATATATATATATATATATATATATATCCAGCATCCATCTCTGAGTGTAGACTTGAATGCTCATTATATATATATATATATATATATGTATATATATATATATATATAGTGTTGACTTCAATGTTCATTTTTATATTTATATTTACATACGCTCCATCTCTGATATTGGGCACTTTAACCTATAAATATAGCACACCTTAAAACTACATTTCTTTATATATATATATATATATATATATATATATATATATATATATATATATATATATATATATATTTATATATGTCGATGCATTTATTGTAATGAGACAATATTATGATGGTAGGCTAAGTAACAGATTATTTTTATTGCTATCAGTCGACAGTAATTGCACTCAAACAGGTTATCGATATGCTCAGTGACAGATCGATTAATAGATCTGAATAGATCGATTTTCTGAAACATATGAAAAACTAATTGACCACTCGATCCCAAGTTAGACACGGTGAAGAATAGACGTGAGATAACAAGCAAAACAAATAGATCGATAAATACGAGGAGTTTCCTGTAAACAGATCCATCGATTGGTGATCATATCAGAAGAATACAAATAGTTTAGGATAGATAAATGTACACGGAATGGTCAGGCGGATATGGTAAATGGTAAATAAACCATTGACAGTACAAAAGTGATAACTCGATAGGTTGATAAATAAATACTGAGTTGGCCTTATTAATAAGAGAGGACGAAAGAGAGAGAGACAGAGAGAGCGTTAGAGCGAATAAGAGAGAGAGTAAGAGAGAGAGCGTAAGAGAAAACGAAAGAGGGTGATCGAGAGAGAGAGAGAGAGAACGAAAGAAAAAGAGCGAGTGTGAGTACAAGAGAGAGCGAAAAATAGAGCAAGACAGAGAGAGAGAGGCCGAGGGTGAGAGAGAGAGAAAGAGAGATAGGGATAGAGAGAGAGGAAAAGAGAGAAAAAGAGATAGAGGGGAGAGCGATTGGGGAGAGAGAGCGCGAGAGTGAGAAAGAGAGGAAGAGAAAGAGAGAACAAGAGAGAATGAGCGAAAGAGAGAGCGAAAGAGAAAGAGCGAGTGAGAGAACAAGAGAGTGCGAAAAAGAGAGCGAGATATAGAGCGAGAGAGAGACAGTATAAGAGAGAGGGAGCAAGGGAGAGAGAGAGGGAGAAAGAGCGTGAGAGTGAGAGAGAGAACGAAAAAGAGAGCGAGATATAGGGCGAGAGAGAGAGAGACAGCATAAGAGAGAGTGAGAGAGGGAGCAAGGGAGAGAGAGTGAGAAAGAGCGTGAGAGTGAGAGAGAGAACGAAGAGAGCGAGATATAGACTGAGAGACAGAGACAGCATAAGAGCGAGGGAGCAAGAGAGAGAGAGGGAGAAAGAGCGTGAGAGTGAGAGAGAGAGGACGAAAAAGAGAGCGAGATATAGATCGAGAGAGAGACAGCATAAGAGAGAGTGAGAGAGGGAGCAAGGGAGAGAGAGAGAGGGAGAAAGAGCGTGAGAGTGAGAGAGAGAACTAAAAAGAGAGCGAGAAATAGAGCAAAAGAGAGACAGCATAAGAAAGAGTGAGAGAGGGAGCAAGGGAGATAGAGTGAGAGAGAGAACGAAAAAGAGAGCGAGATATAGAGCGAGAGAGAGACAGCCTAAGAGAGAGTGTGGGAGGGAGCAAGTGAAGGAGAGAGATTGTGAGAGTGAGAGAGAGAAAAAGAGAGCAAGAGAGAGAGAGAATGGGAAAGAGAAAGAGAGAGCGTGTGAGTGAGAGAGATAGCGTGAGAGCGAGAAAGAGAGGGGAGAATGAGAGAGATGGAGATATATATAGTCATGAATGTATGTCAGGAATAAAGACGGAGAAAGTAAGGAAGAAATCGACGACATTATTCAATTTTAGATCTTCGTTTTGGCACCGATTTCATGAAGCCTCTTTATCACAGTTCAACCAATCAACTAGGCCCGTAATTTGGACCTGGTCGCCAAAACAGCACGATCTTCTAGGCAGACTCATCCTCATAATGCTTCATTGTCTCGTTCACAGCCAAGAAAAGCAGACGTAAGGTAACAGCTTCATCACCGTCGAGTAATTTTTGTCTTCCTGTAACCGCAGTTTTTTTTTCTCTGTTATAAAGTGGCTTACTTATTCCTTTTATCGCCATCCTTGTCTTGGTAATACAATAAAAGCCTCTTATGTCTTGTCCAATACAAAAGATGTAAAGTCTAGCTTTTCTAACGAAGAGAAATGTTTTATCCCGTCTGTACTGTAATTATCCTTTATTCGCTTATTATTATATATGCACTTATATATTTCCACCTCCCCGATATCTATCTATCTATCTATCTATCTATATATATATATGAATTTATTTACACACCTGAAAAAGATTTCTTCAATAAAAAAAATTCAAACACATACATAGATTACATTATTGCTATATTATCACAACGATTAACTTGACATTTAGCCGACAATAGCTCAAATCGCATATTCCCCACCAACACAAAAGAAGACAAATCCCCTATCAAAATAAATAACACAAAAATACTACACTGTAACAAACCTCTGTAAATACTAGAGGACTTAGTCGTAAAAACAAATTACGCCCCCACCCACCCAACTTAAAAGAATCACAAAATAATCTGTTTTGAATCATTTCACCCCAAGCACCAGTGCGCAGGAGGTTACAAGGAGTAAAAGTGAAAGAGAAGACTGAGAATAGGGGGGAGCAAAGAACCTAACTTCACTAAAATTAAATTCAATTTAAAGAAAAACGTTTCACAAATAATAGCAATAAAACAACAACTCGCCACGACAGTAGAAACTGACGCGTGAAGACGTGATATTTGAAAAAGCCGACATAAGAAGTGACGTAATTATGCTTAAGAAAAAAAAAAAACAACAACAAATAAACAGATATAACGCACAAGAATCCTTGAAATTTTGCAAAGATAACACACTGAATAGTCATAATTACATCTCTATCAGCACCCAAATAAGAGATTTTATTTATGGTTTATGAAAGCTGAAAAATCTCAGAAGCCCGGGATCGAAAACCTGAAGAAAGCCGGAGAAAAGAACGGTCAAAACGAAGTACAAAAATTTAAATATCTGGGAAGCGTCTTATCAAATGCGACACCAAAACCCGAAGGCTCATCGGGATAGCAAAAGATGCTTTCCAAAAGCTAAGCAATATATCAAGAAACAGGAAAATTTCTTTAGAAACAAAAAAAGAGTACTAAACTCTTTTGCAATATCAATCTTTCCCTATGGGGGGGATGAATGCTTGAAATTCTCATCACAGATGAAGGAGATACTTGAGGCAACAGAACTGTGACTCTACAGAAGGATGCTAAGAATCCCATGGACTGAACATGTGTGTAACGATAAAGCTTTAAGAAACTTAGAATCAGAATGTAACTTGACATTTCTAGGGCACATAACGAGGAAAGAGGGCTTGGAGTATTTGATACTCACAAGGACATATTGAAGGCTTAAGGTACAGAGGAAAATCATCATAACAACTCGTGTAAAATAGATGGCAGAACAGGGATTTGGGGAGATAATAAAAAAAAAAAAAACTTTACTAGAAGCTGCAAGGGATAGGAAGTTGTGGAGAGCACTGATCGCTAACGTCCTGAAAGAACACGGTGCAAAGAAGAAGAAGAAGAAGATATATTGCCTAGTACTCTAGCTATATGAATGCTACTCGATTGGCATTTAGGTCCTAGCCTTTTAGTGTTGAAATAACTAAATGCAATCGAAACTTCTATTCTAACAATTTCTTTGCGTCCTGGGTAAGACGTTAAACTACGTCCAGCAGCAAGGCCTCTGATCAGGAGGTTTTGAGGAGCGTGGAACCACCTCTTAATTGCTGGTGTTTCCACGTCCACCGTGACCCGGGGTGGTAGCACCCGTTAGGGCCCCATCTATGGGGAAATAGTTAACTATTACCAGCAATACTTTTTTGAAAAAAATTATTACCAGCAATACAATTTTGAAGGAAATATATTACCAGAAACAGATTTTTGACAAAACAAAACATTACCAGCAATAAAAAAATTTGTCGGCATTAAATAACCCATTGAGGTGTTGATATGCCGTAAAACAAAATAAACCAAACCTAACCAACTTTTCTTTCACTTTCTCTAGATAACTCCAAGTTTCCAAAATGCAACGTCAATCGCTATCTTCTGTCTTCTTGAACCCCGTTCATCCTTTGTCCTTTCCTCAATCCTCTCGATTCTCAGTCTTCTCTTTCACTTTCACTCTCTGTAACCTCCTGCGCACTGGTGGCATTCCCGCCTTGCTTGGGGTGAAATGATTAAAAATAAATTATTTTCTTAAATTGAGTGAAGGGGGGGGGGCGTAATTTGTTTTCATTGAATGATGTCTTTGATTGATTTTTTTTATTTATATTTAAACGAAATAGATATGTAGTTAAACCCCATAATTATCCAAAACTTTAGAAATATACGACTGTTGCGTGTGCTAGTCGATATGGTTTATTTTTTGCCTTTTTTTACTGGGGGAGGGGGCTTGTAAGTTGAATAATTATGTCTACTGAATATTCTTTATTCGAATTCCAGTATTGATAACTATGTAAAACAAAGAGCAAAATTGTTGCAATATCAGTAATTGTGTTAACCTTTCGGGCAAATTCAGTTAAAATGCCGTGCAATACCAAATAAAATAACCGCAGACTGTTTTAATTCGGTAACATCTAAGAATAGTCAAATTTTAACTTTAGTTCTGATGTTATTATTCAACGTGAAGTCATTTTTTTTATTCTTGCGTGAAAGTTGCCTAACAATTTTAGTTTTTGTCTCAACAGGTAATAAAGAAATTATATATAAAAAAAAATAATTCGCTATCATGCCTAATTCGCAACCCACTGGACGCAAGTTCATGACAAAGTCTGTATTTTATGAATCTTGCTTTCTGCTCAAACTAACTTCTGTCTGATTTTCTGAGACAAGATGTTTTCAGTTATTGACATTATTTCTTTCTTTTTATGTGCCATGTCCTTTTAGGACGTAGGCGATCATGGCTCTCCACCCTCTCTATCCTTTGCAGCTCTCAACAAGTTCCTTCTCTCTGCTTCCTTCCCCAGACCACGTTCCGTCAGCCACTTGCTTAAGGCCCCTATGTATGTCACGCGTTGTTTTCCCTTGTCTCTCTTTCCCTCTATTCGACCTGAGAGCATCAAATTCTCCTGGGCCACCTCGTCATTATGTGTCCCAGAATCTTCAGCTGCCTCTTCCTGATGTTAAGTATAAGCCTCCTTCTTGTCTGCATCCTCTCTAAGACCTCATCGTTGCTCAAACGCTCGCCCCCTCGGTCTCGGGTGAGAACGGGGGAGTGTAGTATCAGAAATCTCTCTTTGCTAAGTGTCGACTAAGAAACACTTGCTTTTTCAGTTCTTGGCCCTGTCTCGAAATAATATGTACGTATTTAAAATTCACTAGCAGCATGGCCCGGCGTTGCCCGTGCTTGATTCAAAAATCGTACGACTCATACAGCAATCGCTATCACTTGACTTAAAATATTTTTGCCCTTCCTTGCCTATAAAGGAGTGCCCTTTGCCGTGCTGATGTTGCTACATGCCTTACTTCTTGCCTATCTCACACTGCAAATTTTTTCTAAGCTCTATACTAAACATTAAATCTGTTACGAAAAAAGAACTAAACAAAATGAACACAAAACGATCAGCTTTAAAAAAGGACTCGTAACTGGAAAAACCGAATGAAAAAAGAATGTGAACAGCAAATATTTTTTCATACCCAACCCAGTTCTGCGGAATCAGAATCAACGTTGAGTTTAAGCAAGCGAATGAGCCAATTGGAGTAAAGTGCCATGCAGATTTAAATTTTTTCCACTTGTGACGAATGCAGCTATCGATTTTTTTTGCATGCTAGCATGCTAGTTAACATTCGTGTCAGTCAGTTGTTGGCTCTCACGCTGGCCAATAGAATCTTCCTGCCTATTCGTGGCAGCCAGCTATAGGCTCTCACTCTGGCCGGTAGAAAATGGACGCAAACTACATAAAAACTGTCGTAGAAGCATGAAAAAATCGATTATTTCCACTATCGATGGGAGTTGGGAAATGCAAAGTCGGTCTTGGCCTTCCCGTTAACTTGGAGCATGTGCATGTAAATTTTGGTGCAAATCCGTCGAAAATTGCGGCCGTACATTCGTCACACACACACACACACACACACACACACACACACACACACACACACACATCCTGCCTTTTAAAGATAGAGATTCTTGTATACCGTCGTTTTTCTGCATTTTTTTTTGTTTCTAACTTACTAATTTACTTAAGTATTAATCTGTTCTTTCGCTATTACTAATTGTTTTAGTTTCCATAACTGTCTTATTTCTAATGTTACTGAATTTAATCCACCTCGTCTTTTCTATTCTATAAAGTTTGTTGACTATAAATTGGCCTGTCAACAAACGCCTGGGCGCAGTCGTGAAGTGATTTTTATCGATGTAAACGGTCAGATTAGCACCTCTCTCTCTCGGTCTCAGGTGTGAACGGGGGAATGTATTAAGATCTTCATCTTTCACATTATCACATTTTCGGGTGTTGCATGTTTCTGAAAAACGCTCAAGAAGTCCATTGAACTTTTATTAATATATACAATATTGCGTATTATACATTGTTATATATGGTTAGTTAATTTAACGACAAATTAATTCCTGTTTGATTATCGAATTAAAGAATATCATTTAGTGTCCCCGACCTGCAAATGGCATTTCGGGATCATCCTTTTACTGATGACCATGCATTCTGTCTTCTTGCAGTTTATGCTTAGTCCTTTCTTCTCGCTCTCTTTCGCTACCTTCTGTAAGAGGTTTTGTAGTTTCTTTTCCG